ACAAACTTCCTCCAATTGGTTTGTTCAGCATCAGCTGACGTCAGTTACATAAAGCTCATGACTGGAGGAAGTCTGTTTGCAGAGACAAAGTATGGGCAGTTTTGCAACCACGCAGTTCTTTCCTCGGCTTACTTCCTTGCATAAGACGCCCTTCAATTTTTAGTCTAACTATCTTAGAAAAAAGTATCATCTTATAGACAGAAAAATACTGTAAGTTTATTAGAAATGTTACAATAAATTAACCTAACTAACCCACCAATTCAATGGCATAGCCCTAGCATTAATTGTTTTGCTTTCAACAACTGCAGTTTATATTATATAAAACCAGCAGTATCTGGGAAAAGTAATTAGCTCTACTTTAGATTATTCAACTCAAGAGGATGCTAATTCCAAAATAGCAGCTGTAACTTAAATACATATATGGGTTTCTTTCACTCCCAACTCCATTAATTCTAGAATCTTAAACTTGCCTCCAAAGGAATAGTTATATAAAACTGCATAGAAGCAGCTTTCACCAAATAAAATAAATAATCAAATAAATTTGGACATTATCGGGCCTTTTAAATTTGGACAAGGAAAATCACCTACTGGTAAGTCTTACCTACTGAAATGTTTCAGTACATTTTTTCATTTTAAGTGGTACCATTCATAGATTTTAGGTGGTAGTTATTTCTCAATAATCATGGACAGGAGAAATACTTATTGCCACTTCTACTCTTCATTCCAAGATAAAGTTATATTTTCACCCCATAAATCTTCAAGTGTAGAGTTGTAGGAAGATGACCTTGAAGGGGCTGAAGTCCAAAACGTTCAAATAACATTCAGAAGTGGCTCAGACAGACACCTCCCTAATTCACTGAACTATAAGAAGGAGGGGGTGATACAGAACAATCAGATTTGCAAGATTCCATTATTATAGCCAATCTCAATAAAAGTAGATTCAGCCTTCCTGTGGAGTTGATTACCTAGCGGGACTGACAACAGAATTGCAAAAGATCCATGGACTTAATCTGTCCTACAACCCCAAAGAAATTGGGTTCTTTTTTCAAATTCCTTCTTCCAGGACACATTAGTGGTCTCCTCACCTCCAGGGCATCCATGAGATGATCCCCCGTAGCAATGTTGGGAATATGGATAGTAGTGCTAAAAGTATCTAGCATCTCCATCTCCTGCAGGACATCCTTGCGACTAGTAGTCCCAATGATCAAGAGTTTGCGACCCTGAATGTTAGCAAAAAATGGGAGGAGAAAGGTAAATGAAAGTGAACTTATTTTTGGAAAGGACTCATATACAGTTTAATACTTTGGCTTTCATCATTCCTTTTCAATAGTTGGCGGTTTGGTTTAAAAGTCTTTCTTGCCTAAGTAAGCTCATCCTGCTAGATCAGTTCAGTGATGCAACCAACCCACCTTTTCCCAGTGAGGCAAGTCACATGAAGCCAGGAAAGCCAAGGAGGGCTTGAAAGCAACTGTTTTTCAAATGCTGTTTTGTTTTTTTACAGGTAAACATGGAAGTACCACTTAACTACCAATGATAATAGTTTTTGATAGTCTTACGCTCTATGAATTTTTTAGCTCTTTTAAAAAGCTATTTAAATGTTCTTCCCAAGGAATCTGAGAACTATAGAACGGTGAAAGGAAGACCATGCTAAGGAAATTCCCTATATCCTTGTCAAATTATACTTTCCAGATTTCTTTTGGGATAAATCACTATAGTCAAACTGGCATAGATTTGTAGCATAGCTTGACTTAGGTTAATAGTATAGAAAAAAAGAGGCTCCTATTAAGCAAATGGAAAGTATCAAACTGCCTGATTCATCACTGATCTTGCCTGGATTTCTAATTTGAAAATACCTCTCTCTCTCCTCAGTGAGATGCTCTGAGGACTAAAACAGGAGATTGACAGAGGTAGTCCAGAACTCAACAGCAGTTCAGGTCTCTGCTTGAAAACACCATTAAACCAAAATTAATAGTTTAATTAAAACTATTAAAAAAGCATTTAAAAATCTTACTCATTTAACTACATTTCTATAGCACTCAACATCCAAAGTACTCTGGGAAATTCACAAAATAGATGATTTTATAGTAGACACTGTACACCAATAATCATTTTCAGTGTCCTTAAAGTTAGTAGAGCAGTTTGTTTCCCCCTTAAATTTATTTCTGTCGTTCTGATTCTCAAGAGTCACTCCAGTGCTTGAACTAACCTCTGGCAAGATCCACCTGATTATGCACAAAAAAGTGGGGAAATATCTGAAAGAGAACAGTTTTGCCAGCTGCTAGAAGTAGAGAAAGCTATGCTTTTAAAGCCATAAAGCAATCATTATGGTGAAAGATGGAGCCCACCTGGGCAATAATTCTACACTGCCAACTGGAAGGTCATGAAGTTTAAACACACACACTGGTGAGATGGGTTATCAAGCACATGATGAAAAATGTGACTCTGTACTTCCAGACACACCTTTCATCTAAACTAGGAAAACAATTAAGATACTAAAGTATTAGAACGATGTCATTGTCCAACTCAGATGGACAGGTAACTGTAATTCTTCCAAAGTACAGCCAACCAGTGTGGACTGACCCTGGGGAAGTCAGGTTCTAGACCACCCTCAGCCACAGAAGCCCTCTGAATGACTTTGGGCCAGCCACTCTTTTTCAGCTCAACCTGCCTCACATGGCGGTTGCTGTGGGGAAAAACAGGATAGAGTGCTATTTATGTTGCCTTGAGCTCCTGTACAGAAGGAAAGATATAAATCTAACAAATAAAGTGGTAAACACAATTCTCAAGGGCCAAACTAAACCCATGGAGCAAACTGAAATGGGAGCCCTAGCAGGTATCAAGAGTGTAGGTGCAATATAGGTGGGATGCAATAAGCAGGTGCAGGGGATCACATCTCCTCTCCCTGGACTTTCCATCTGCACATTTATTGCATCAAATCAGATGAAATAACTCCCTTTTCTTTCTTACAAATCATACTTATCACAGTTTGGCAAAGCATAACTGGCAGTGCTATTTTTCCAAATAGATGAAGCTAAAAAAGATTGCAATTCTTTGCAATTTTCAACTACCCAGGTTTTACCCAAATTGTTCCAAGAGTAGGGCAACAATCTGGTCTAAAGATTGGCCAACATATGGGCAGGGATTTTCATTCTGCTCTTCCATCAATAGTATTAGCCATGCAATTTTGGGAATCCCATTTAAAAATTAAGTTTTTATTGGATCTTTTAAAAACAGAAAAACTGGGCCAAAGGACAGTAGTAATGGCTACTAAAAACAAGCTGCTGGAAGCATCAGATTTTAGTTATTCAACAGAACATATGGATGCTGCTTTTTGTAAAAAACAAAACAAAACTTTCCCCCCCCAAAATCCAGATGGATGCATAACAAAGAGATTAATACGGTTTTATCACTACATTAAATATAAACAATTAAACAATTACAATCCGACAATTACATCTCCAATTACATGGCTCATTCCACTTTCTGACTACACACGTTTCATTCAAGTAATTTCACATCTGTGTCCAATACTTGTGTGGTATAACTTACAAGCAATGACCCAGGGCTCTTCAAGTTCATGCTAACTACATCACGGATTAAGCATTTTGCTGACACTTAGAGAGCCATAAAGAGCTGAAATTACCCTAATATAATCTAGCAGTCCCTTCAGGGATTCACAGATAAAACATGTGAAGAAGAGTAGTAAATCATATGCATACAAGCTAATTTTAAGTGCAAAATTTCTGATCTCCACACCTTTGTTCTTATCATTATTCCTAATGATTCTATACTCATTAAAACTAACATTTTAAAAATGTCTTTTCTTCCTTATAAATGAACAAAAATCCAGTTGCTGGGCCTTTAGGCTCATGTTAGTCTCACCTGTTCCCCCTAATTTGTATCATGAGCTAAAATCTATACCAGGCAGTATAATTATCAGCGGATTATGGAAGAACTGAGATAAACTGTTTTTTCCACTGGGAAAATCTCTCACAGCCTCTGTAATTTTTATCCAGGTCTCAATAAAGATGTTAAATTTTCTGAAGAGGGAGTAGAACATAGTACAGATTACTCTTATATAAGTATTAGATTCAAGACAGAGCAATTGACTCATAAAGGGTATGGAAGAAAATCAGCTCCCTTTTTTAAGCATTTCAAACTTAAAAGATGAGCTGTTTATCTGAAAGAATGAGGACAAGAGGACACCAGTTTTTTCTTTTGATTATCAACCAGTCTTAACATCTAAGAAAATATTTTCTCAAAGATATCAGAACTTTCTGTATGTAAAAAGGCAACTTACAGATCTATGTGGGCTATTAATTTACAGTCTGAACTTGTTATGGGAGACTGATCTTATCTCTCGTATAGTTGTACTGTATCTGTAGTGTGGGGAAACTAGTATAATAATGCTGCTTTCCAGCAAAACTATCTATGAGCCTTACCACACAGCAAATCATCCTCAACAGAGAAGAAATGCAGCCCACTGATCTGCTTACATCACACCCACTGCCACAACGTGCAAGTTGCAGACTTGCAGACTGGGAGGCAGTGACATGGTGCGAGCCAGCATCTCCAGTTGCAAAGGAAAAGATTAGAAACATACATAGGCAGGTGCTTTTCTCCCCACACAGAGGTGTGGGGAAAGAAAAGAACCATCTTCCCTGGGATTCTCTAGAACCAGAGGATTTGGCTGTCTGCAGCTGCAGAGGCAGCTCTCAGAGAACAAGAAAGTGCCCTTAGGAACAGGCCTTTTTTTTTGGACATATATGGCAGATTTTCATCTTTAAGTTTGGTAGCTCAAATTTTTATGGAAGGAAAGAGGAGATTTTATTTGGTATAAATGGTCTTGTGAAATGCCAAGAAGTTCTGGACATAATTCCTGGAAAGAATTTATTCTTTTTGGGGCAGAAAATTCAATAATAGGTCACCTTTTCCCATTATTATAGCAATGTTACTTGAACAGTTTTTATTCCCCTTTCACATTTCTATCCTGATTAATGGACTGCATTGTTCATCAGCTTTTAATAAAATGCTGAATGAAGCTAAAAAGGCTTGGGCAAAGTCTAGGCCAATCTTCCCCAACTGCTGGCTATGCTTACTACAAATTCTGCAAAAGGCATCCCTTGAGTGGCTCAGATACTAAACTCTGAGGCCAATGTTTCACTGAGAAACAGTTTTTAAGGAACCTCCAGGTTCTGGAAAGTAACAAAATGAAAACCACCAAATTATAGAATATGTCCTTCTCAAATACAGCAGAATTAAGGAATTTCCCATAAAGACTATAAGGTAACTTCAAGCGTCATGTGCACTAAAGGAAAAGAATCCAACCGAATTTCATATGGGGTGGATTTCATGGGCATAAGCGTGGGCTCAACCGATCAGATTCCTTCTGATGTAACCTGAAAATAAGTTTAGATACAAACAAACAAACAAATAAGTAACACCTCTGAGGCTCAGAAAGGAATTGTTTTGTGCTAATGCGTTGGTCTAACTCCAGCAAGTGCCATACTTTTTCCTCCCCTGGGAAATTTGTAGGGCCAACATAGGGAGGGTGTCTTAAGCAGGCCCCTTTCAGAAGATCCCCAAAACAGTTTACTGGGTTTTTCATAACACTACCCAAATTGTCAGTCTAGCTTAAGGGGGGAAAAAGGGGGAGGGTAGGAGAGAGGGATACTGCATTGGGCTTTTACCCTCTAAGTCTAATTGTTAGTTTTTTCAGAGGAACCAGCAGGGAACCCCATGTGAAGCCTCCGTGGGGTTCCCGAGCATCCAATGCCTTGTGTGACTCTGCATGTAGATGAAGGAAGCCTTTCGGGTTGCTGCGCTGTTACTGCTCCTTTCTCAGAGAAATGCTTTTTTCTCTGGCTTGGCTCCCTGCTGGGACAGGGCTTTTCAATCTTCTTCTCTCTTTTCCCTCTCCCTCCCCCCGCTTTCTGAAAAATCCCCTCCCCTCATCTCTCCTCCTTGCAAAACCCATGGAAACATGAAAAAAATAAAAGAGCTCAGAGAGGGAGGATTTATTTTCTTCCTTTTATTTTGGAAAATCTACTTGAACATTAATTTTTAAAAGGCTTTTAAAAGAACTTCTGTCTAAGAGAATATACAAATACAGAAACACAGACCACATGTCAATAAAGAGGGAAAGACCTGGATTTTTCTTTTTTTCTCCAGATGGATTTTTACAAAGCTGAAGAATGCCAGGACATCTAGATAGTGCTAAGTGTAATAATTTAAATGAGCTGTGTGGACCAATAGACTTGGTAAGAAATTTAATTGTATTCTTGCAAAAGTTCAAGCTACACACACAGAGAGAGACCCCAAAAAGGCTACAGGAAAGTCTAGGAAGTGGTTGGCAGAAGCCCACATAAAAAATGATGACATAAGCCTCACAGCATGATGCTACAATAGACCAGAGATGGCTCACTTATGTGTCGGCAGAATTTGTAGGAAGCTGGAGGCAGACATGCTGCACTAGTGACAGGATGGGAATAATACCATCTGGCCTGGCCTCTATCTATCTATCTATCTATCTATCTATCTATCTATCTATCTATCTATCTATCTATCTTCCCCCCAAGATTCCACAGGCCCCTACCTCCTAGCCTTCTGAAAAGCCTTGAAGACCTGGATTTTCCCACAAGCTTTGGGATAGTTATGCCTGAAGCCCAAGAAAGTTGTCTGTTGGATGCGAGTGGTGTGTTGTTTTTGCAGGAGCCGGGAGTTTTTATGTTGGTTTTATTTATTGTTTTATTATTGTTTATAAGCTACCCAGGGTTATTGATACATAACATGGATGAATATATAAATCTAATAAATAAAGCCTGAAAGTCTTTATACGGCAGCTTCATAATGACATTATCATGCATACAAGCATGCCACTATGCAGAATAACTTACATTTAATTAGTTTTCTCATTAATACCTCAGTACTCAGAAATGCTAATTTTCTCCTTCATAAATACCCAAAGAATTAGATAAAGCAGAAAGACAAAATGACTTGCCACCCAACATGAAACATACCCAAGACTCTTCTAATTTGAAAGGATGTATAAGACTGTTCCATAAATACCTCACCTCTTCAATATATGCAACTGTGTCATTGGTCTTTAAAGACTCTGACAGGTTCTTTTAAAAAATGAAGAGAAAACTGTCCTACGTAGCTGAATTTGTTCTATCTTCCTCTTGGTCTCAGATGAGGACATAGTTCAGTTTACAAACATGGACACGTTACTTACATTAGGTGGTGTTTTTTTCAATAGCACCAGAAGGGCCTGCAGCACTAGGTTGGAGAAACGTGGCCCGATTGGAACATAATCTGAAAGTTTAAGAGAACAAAACAACACACACATTTACACAGTTTGCGGCAATGTACACACACTGGCAACAAGTTCAAATATTGTTCTGTTTCAAAGTTTGGAGATCTGGGTCAGTTATTCTCTTCCAAGTCTGAACTCGCAGTATTAAGTTAACTAATGCCCCAACAAATTCTGTTTGAGCGCTGCCGCCACCACCCAAATCTGGCTAATATCAAGTAATATCAATAAGGAGACCAACTACGATAACAATTAAACCCATTGAGTGGATAAGTCAGAGCAGGTTAAATCAAACTTTCCTTTATTTTAATCTCTGATCCCAGCCACTTTTCATCCTTCTGGTATCTGCCTTCATCTCCTCCCTGGCATGGCTTTTGCTTTACCTTGCCCTCCAAATGATGAAAGGTGGGTGCAACCTCTACCATCATCATCCCCATAAACTGCCTCCATAATGCTACCTCCATATCCAAGCTCAGGCCCACCAGCCACAAGAGCCTTTCTTTCCATACAAAAGCACTCCTGCCCTAAGCAGGCTTTGCATCAGTCTCATCTGATTGTGTCCTTCTTCACAGATATTCCCTTTTCCAGCATTCTCACCAAGAAGCCGTTCAATGTCATCCACCACCACACAGCTGAGCTGAGACTTATAAGCATCATCAAAGATCTAAATGTTAGGAAGAAGAAGTAACAAAGCATTTTGTTAATTGTGCCTTTAAGTAAAAATAAATAAAGCTCTGCCGCTTGTAATTTAAAATTTAATTTGGACCAAATTCAAGTCCTTTGGTTTAACCTGTTTTAAAAGAAAAGCCCTTTAATTGACGTTATAACACTAAGGGGGGAGAAACTGATTTCTGCATAAAATGCACTCTAAGATTGTGAAAATAGTCTCAGAATGCAAGATGAATTCCAGGAGTAGGAACTTAGCAAAGGTTTCTATCTTCTATCTATCTCAGGCATAGTCAAGATAGACTAAGACTTCTAAAGAACAGGTATTTCAAAAACTGCTAAAAATGCAGAGATTAAGGAAAAATATTGGGTATTATATATTGCCAGTAAATTTGGTTCCCTTCTTTGGAGGGTTCATTAAATATTTGAAATTCCTGAACAGAAATGCCTCCAAATTTTGGAAAATTAAACCTCTTCTTGACAAGTTGTACCCTCTACCTGCCCCCATGCCATGCAGAACTTACTGAAAAGAATTTTTTAAAACATCCATTACCCCAGATTTGGAAGGGGATGCTGTTAACTGTGACTCAGATGTCCCACAGGTAGCACCCACATTCTGGAGAGGTGGCAAAATACTTCATGCTTTAAAATTAATTTTTCCTTTGCTTTATAGGAAAATGGTTCTTTCCTGCTACAGAAATATATATTTCCTTACACAGAAACATGAAAGCCTCTTAAAGAATTTTTTAAAACATCCATTACCCCAGATTTGGAAGGGGATGCTGTTAACTGTGACTCAGATGTCCCACAGGTAGCACCCACATTCTGGAGAGGTGGCAAAATACTTCATGCTTTAAAATTAATTTTTTCTTTGCTTTATAGGAAAATGGTTCTTTCCTGCTACAGAAATATATATTTCCTTACACAGAAACATGAAAGCCTCTTATTTAGATATACTAGATTTTTGTACTCTGCATGATTCTTTTAATAGAGTAACAGATTAAATAAACTAGTCTCATTAACATCCCACCACCCCCACCAACAAATTTCTCTGGGGTCTTCCCAAGCATCTCAATTTAATATCCTAACTGGCCTAGATTTATTATTCTGTGAGACTAACCACAACTATTCCTATTCACGCTCTGATAACATCCAACAAACAACAATGAACAATTTTAAGTAAGGCATTACTCTCTACTGAATTTTTTTTCTCCTTTATTGGAAGCACTGTATTTGCTTAATTTTTTTACAAGAATATGTTAAGTCATACATCAAAAGCAAAGTGTCTGCTCTATGGACTATGGAATAAAGAAGGGTGGATGTCATTTACTTGTAATGAGGATTCTTTGGGGAAAAGTGGAGGGGTATCAATATTTTTGGCCATGTTTGTACATCCAGTAGGAGAGTTCAAGGCAAGTTCTCCCCCCCCCCCACTTTGTCAGAATTAACAAGATTTTATTTGACCTTTTTCATCAGAGTCGCTTTTCTGTGAGATGGGCAGCTATACAAATTAGATTAATAAATAAATAAACAGCAAGCTTAAATGGATAAATCTGCAACAATGCTACTAAAATTAATTCAGTTTTGTTAAATCAAGCACTATAACTGTTTACATATTTAGGTCATGCACATGTCTTCTCTTAAATTTTTCTTATGTAAAATTACAACGCAGTCTAGCTAATCAACAGAGGTGTGCAACATTTTGAATCTGATTTGGATGAGATGCTTTGGAACAGCTGGAGAATGAATGCAACAGCTCTCTGCAACTCTTTAAAGAAACCAGGAACTTATTCTAGGATCAGGTGGCTGAACTGAATCCAAGACACTGCACTACCCTACTCTTCATCAAACATGACAATAATGTTTATATGCCACATTATTCTTCATAAACAGAAAACAGTTAAGAGTTTCCTAACTTTTGAGGATATCAAAAGTAAATAATCAGGAGGAAACAATACTTCCTTCTTTCTGGTGAGCTAAGCAACAATTTAATCTGCTACTGGAAAGTGTATTTTGGCTAAACATTGGAAATAACTGTAAGACTTTCTAAAGCAAGATTATTAACAGTGTGCAGTATATTAACTGATCCTTGGAAATATTCAAGACAAGCATAGATAGGTCTCTACAGGTAAAGATGTTTCAGTTAAAACAGAGGTGGGATACCTATAGCCCCTTCAGATATCGCTGGATTCCAACTTCATCTGCCAGAACCAACATAACCAATGGTCAAGACAGATATTATTGCAGTTCTTGTAATCTATTAACATTTGAAGGGCCACATATTCCCCACCCACTCCTGAGATATAAGACCTGTGACTTCCAGGAAAGTTTACTTCCCCACAAGTAAACTTTTTCCATTAGGCTTTCCCACTCTAGTGCCTTCCAGATGTGTTAGAACAAATCCATTGGCCATGCTGGCTGAGAATTAAAAGAATAAGAGCAAGACATTTGCAGGACAAAAGGCTGGAGAGGGCAGAATGATACCCACTTGGTTATTCCAGGGACAATGTCTTTTCTGCCTTTAGATTTACAATACAACTTTGCACAATGCTCCCTGGATTATATTTTTGCTTTTGCCTATCTACCTCAACATGTGATCTGCATACCCACATCTGTTCTAGCTCTTGGAATATCTTTGCCATTATAAAGCTATTTTCACACCCATATGTCTTAGGCCTTGACTTGAATTCAAAGCTACCTAACTAACTTATGAAACTATGTATGTAACAAACTGTTAAGCACTGACAGAGCAGGAAGGAAAAATAACTAAGTAATATATAAGAAAAAAACTGGTGTAGAGAACAGATTAGTAGTGTATACCTTCTTAATTGCCTGGCACTTGGCAGTTTCTGAAAAGCCAATCATCTTATCAGGAGAGCAGATCTTGATGAAGGGGAAATTAGATTCTTCTGCAATCTTTGCAGCTAAGGCTGTCTTCCCACTGTGTGGGGGACCTGTTTGCAAAAAAATAGCCCAGGGAATAGACAAAACTGAGTAATAAGGAACAGCAAATCCTGCCAGTCTTAAGAGAGACAAGAAGGTCTCCTGATGAAAACTGAGTATACCTGAAAGAAAAGATCTCTCCATATGGCTGAGACCTACATGAACTTTCAAGTTCTTAAAATAGCTGTGAGTCTAGAAGCTTCACTGAGACACAAAGGATTTCTACTACCAAGCCGTGTGCCCTCTAACAAAGTTTGCCTCCCTGACGGGGTGGCCCTTGGGACAGAACAGATATTTTGTCAATATACATCCATCCCACTGACAACCACCACTACCTGCTTGAAGTTATCCAAGTGATATAAATAATAATTTTGAAATTTCTTATATTTGTGATGTTGGGAGCGGGGATGGTTCAAAATGACTCAGAATTTTATTGACTCCATTTATCTAGAAATTTGCTTGATCTGTCCTTTCTTATGCAGGATTATAATCTGTGTGTGAGGTTAACATTTCCCACTATCACTAGATGGTAATGTAAAGGATTACAAGGACTCCTTTTTTGACAGCTTTTATAGCATTGAACTTCCAAGATTTCCTGGATGAAATTAATTAATTAAGCAGAGCTATTACAAACTGACTGTAGACTTAGTGAGTGTAGACTTAGTGATCATCTAAGGTTCATCAAAAGCAACAATGAAGCATTCTCTTTGTCTAATTCCTGAAATAGATTGTCCACAAAGAGAATGCTTCATTGTTGCTTTTGATGAACCTCTCAGCAGTTTTTGATATAAGCAATTACTGTATCTTTCTTGACTGCCTCTTTCCCAGTTCAGTGTTTTATATCTATCTTCATGATCTGCACTCAGATACATACATTTTCTAGAAGCTTTAAGGAAGCAGAGCAACAAGTATGTATTATTCCATCCATAATATTAGACAGCAGTTAGAACTAACCATGTGTGCAAAGCCACTTCAATGGTTCCCAGTTTCAGTTTGCTCATTATTAGAAACCATGTTAAGCCATTTTAGATATCAAACTGAATATGATTTGAGGTGATGCTGAAGTAAGCTTCTATAAGGTGTTAAGAGAGAGAACAGTATGAATGCTCTTTCCCCACAAAGGTGCCAGAGACCCCCTTCTGTGATCTCTAAAACCCTAATAATCAAAAATCATCCCAGATAGAAGCAAGTTTTCAAGCCCAGTACTCTTTCTAGGAGTAGACCACATCTAATCCATCCTCTGTAGAGCAAGTAACATAGAGCATAAAACCTACCTTCCAAAAGAACACTGACCAAGGGAGTACGGTCACTGTTTTTGACCTGCTGAACAAGAAGTTCCCCATCATCCAGCACCCGAGTAACAGGGTCACCCCATTTAATAATGCCATTCATAATATAGCTTGCATAATCCTCCTGATTGGTCCCAAATGCCTGCAGGTTGGAAAGAAACAGATGTAGTAAAGCAAATAGTGGATATACAACCTCCATTTGCAAGGGGGGGAATGATCTGAACTTGTTCTCCTGTCTAGCAACAAGAATGAATTAAGGACACACTCACCGGCTTAATGTCATTCTCCAGTGAAGCAAAAAAGTCTCCCCTTGTCACCTGTAGGGATTCTGCTTTTTCCATATCAACTTCCACCTTAGTGCTGGCCTAATGAAAATGGGAGACAGCACATTAACAAGATAGCCAACAAAAGCGTAAGTTCAAAATAGGGCCGCAAAGCTCAAATAATGGAACTACAAGGAAAAATCTCAAGTAGCCTCAGTTTCCCTTTAAAAGAAAAAATATGTCCAGACATTTTTTTCTAAAAAAAATCTCTTGGAAACAGAATTGTATCAGAGTAGAGTTCATGAGTGTGTGCAGGGAAATAAAAAGAGGCAAGAAGTTTAAAGAACATAAAGAAATGTAGGAAGTGGTATATGGCTGTTGGGGAAACAAGAATGGTTTGTAAGGACAAAAAGGTATGGAGTGATATAATGAACAGTTTGGTATAAACTAGTTTTAACTATATTGCCTTTTCTTTTTATTTCATGCTTTATGTCATACAAATAAATTACTGTTACTATTTCTTACTCCTTTTCTGCACTTTGTATAATGTTGCTTACTCCCAAAAGGAATAAATGGGTATGTATGTATGTATGTGCGCATCCATTCCTTTTTATTTGCTCCTGTCTATGCCGCTGTACTTTGTGTAATTAGGACAGGTGAGCAAAATGGCTGATTTGAACTCAGAGCTTTCTACTCCTCATTCATAAGAAGTCCCCAGTAGGAAGTAAGGCATCTTCTCTCTGATGCTCTTATACAACGTGATTCGTTATGGAGGGTCCTCAATGCTTCCTTGTTAGGTGCACAAGATACTGGAAAGGTACTGTGGTGGGACACACCTGGATTGCAATTAAAAGCGACTACTGTGAGAATGCATAAAATCTTTCTATATACATAAAGTCCACTCCATATTTCCAACTGTCCTCTAAAGGTTAAGTAATTAAACCATTACATTAAGAAAGGAGATGGTACTGAACAAATGTGCCGGAACCAAATAGCTTCATAAGCGATTCTGAACTGGGGATGAAGATGGGGAAGACTTGATAGAGCTAGGAAAACTAAATCAGCACCAAGGAACTTGGAAGCTTGCACTACTGAGTTGCCATAGTAAAAATATTGTCCCAATATGGATTTTAGATCATCCTTAAAGTGCATTTTTCTTAAGGTTCATTTTTATGAACTACAAGGCTCTCATCCCTCCTCAAATCCATTTGCACAGCATACACAGTAAGAGCTATGTGTTCCAGGATGCATTCCAAGCCCAACACCTGTTAAAGTCACAGGCTAACAAAAATCAGCATTTCAACACTCTCCAATATAAAAAACTCATTTAGCTTGTTTCAGCTAATCTCTAACCTTCTCACCCTGACATTTCACATCTGACATCACTCATTTCCTGCAAAAAGCAGTGACCTTTACAACTAAAAATGAAAGAGAAAAAGAAAATAAAAGAAGAGAAAGAGAAGAAAGGAAAGAGAAAGACTCCAAACTACATCTCACTATGAAATCAGGCCTTTAGGAGCTAAGTAATAAAAGTGATGTAGATGTTTATCCTCTCTGTGCAACTAGGAATAATTAACTCATTATACTATATGGGTAAAATCTAAACCCATTTCAATATCTAGTAGTAGACCAAGAGGGCAATGTTTGATGAAACTTCAGAAACCTCAGAAACTAAGGAGATGAATGTTTGATGTTTAGCTATTACAAGGGAGATACAGATCAATTTCATACATGCTACCTGTGTATCAATCTTAGCATCTATATTCAAATCAGCATGCTTTTTGCCTGTGTACTTTTATACTTTGTCTTCTTTGACAAGCGAATAACACAAGCACAAGCACAACTTTGCACTGAAGTGTTATTTCTTTAAAAATCCAATCCATATGAACAGGCAGCCAAGTGTTTCTTCCAAACTGAAAGTCATTGAAAAATAGGTATGCATAACATTCTATCAAGGAAACATTCCAACCCCAGACTGTTCCAAAATGGAGGCTAGACTAGCTCCAGAACATTTAGAAAAGTCCTTTCCAGAGTCAGAACATTCCAAGATGGAATGCTTCATCCACCCTCAGTCTCACAATACCATCATTTTCCCAGCCATGTTTGATGTTTATGTACCTGCGGTGTCTTATTTTAGCATTTAACAAAGATGAACCCTGCCTCCAACAGCTGGCTCCAATAACAGGAAATGAGCAGGCAACAAAAAAGAGCTTGGGACAGTGGTGCATAAAGAGCTAAGAAAGGGAAAGAAGATCCAATTCCTTTCAGTTTTGTATCACACTGCCTGAAAGATGTAGACATCTGGACAACAAACAGGGTGGACACCTATTTTATCTAGTTTGACCATCAGATTACAGCAGGAAGAACTGCATGCTTCAATATTCTTTCATCTTTTTTTGGTCCCCAGAAACCACATGAATCACCCTTGAAAAGCTGCTTTTACTCTTTAAAGTTTTCTCCCCCACAAATGTTAAATTCAAATCAAGAATGAGAGGGAAAATATTGATTATTTAAAGATTTATTCTGCATTTTAGGGTTAACTCTTAAATTCCTTATAACTAAGCAAAACTCACACATCTTCCATAAGAAGAACAAAAAAGGGAGAGGCATAAGGGGATGGGGCCCGAGTTCAGATCTAGTGCCATCTGAAGTGATGGGGTAGTGCTAAGAAGAAGCAAACCTTAATATGTCTGTTCATAGCTGTGGACTGGGCCGCCCGAACGAGACCCTCAAGTTCAGCACCACTAAAGTTCTTGGTCTCCACAGCCAGTTCTGTAATATCAACATCTGAAGACAGCAGCTGGTGGGTTCGCATCCTTGATGTGTGGATGTTGAGAATCTGTATTCGACCTTTTTCATCAGGCAAGCCTAAACAGAGAAATTATCATTTTGCTTCAAATAATTTTTCCACAGTGAACTTTCCAGATAAGGTGGGTCTGCAACTTCAGAATTTCTAGTCAGCATCTTAGTCAGGAAATTCTGGAGGTAACTGTCTCCACATATCTGGAGATAGCCAGGTTGAGAAAGGCTCTTTAGATATTATCACTCTCTCCCATGACTGCAATATTATAACAGGTGAAGTAATAACCTTTCTTTCCCAAACCCCAGTCCTCTGAGCAGGCTTTTCGGGAGTAGAAAGTGGAGTGGACATTGCACCTCCTTTTCACCTAGGATGTAATGGGGATTTATGAATCATTTGATTATACTTAGGCACTATTAATGTCTGACTGGAGAGTCATGGACACATCCAAGCAATTTTCTTACCAACAACTCTTGCCATGTTTTTGGACTCCCCAGTCTAGACTATTGCCCTGAATATTTAGGAGTGTCCTATCCAAATCACAGCTGTACTTTCCCAAATTTAGATGCAATGGATAAATAGTTTAAACTTTTGTAGCTGTATTTACCTACAGCATCCAAACTTAGGAAACTTGTGAATAATAAGAACAAGCCAACATGTGAAAGGAAACATTAAATGTCCTTCTCTATTGCTGAAAATGAAAAAGACAGAAGGATGCAAGCTTAAGGCTTGTTGCAGTTTAATATAGCGAGCTAACATGGATTAAGAATAAGATATTCTTGTAATATAAGAATTCAACCATTTGTGCATGATCACATAGAGGCAAAGACTCTCTATGCTACTTGCAGGGAATCAAAAAAGAGTGGCATGAATATCTTTATTATAAAAGATAATAAGGGGTTTTTTGCAATTTGCATCAAGGTATAAAAAGTAATGGCTTGGGAGCTGCAGCAAAGGTTGCTTTGTAGGAATTCTATCTCTACAAGTATTTTCCAGTCATGAGTATCATGGTTCTACGAGTGTAATGTTCAAGAGAATCCCTATTGCACATCCTCCTTCTTCAAGATAATGTAAATTATGGGAAGTGGCTGAGGTCATAGGATTGTATGCAGCCAATACAGTCTCCTACCAAACCTTTCTGATGCCTGCCTGTGGGTTTTGATAGCAACTGCTACCCTGATTATTTACCAATTTCCATTTTCACTTCCAGTCGTCCAGGTCGCAAGAGTGCTTCATCAATCAGGTCCGGCCTATTGGTCATACCTGGGGATCAAAAGAAAATTGTTACTAGCTTGAAAAAGAGGAGGCCCAGATACTACCATTGGTTCTTAGGTTAGCTGACCGAGCCCTCTAGGCACTAAGCAGTCATACTTGATTGCTATAAGTTTCCACTAAGCAAGGCTCAGCCAAGGAGGCAATTCAAACACAGCATTCCCACCAGGTGAGACTGTTCTGTTTACCCTTTATTTATACATGGAGATCCCAAAAGGATCTCAAAAGCTGCATGTGTAGGAGTCATCTAGTCATGAGAGAGAGAACAAAATAATGAGAGAAAGAAAAAAGGGCTGTTAACAGACTTGAACACCTGGCAATATCCAAAGTTCCAAAATACGTTTTAGGGATATGTTGATGCATCTGATATCTGCGAGCTGCCAACTTATGTTATACTATTCAAATGAATGATCACATGGATAGGATCCTAACTAATATGCAAACTAGTTTGTGTGAAAACAAATTTAAGATATTGTGTGGTAATGAAAGAAACAGGGAAGAGAGAGAAGGAAAAAGACAAGAAAAATACCACCACCCTGCCTTGCACTCTCACTAGCACAAGTCCAGCAAAGTTTAGGAACTGGTTCTTCCACCAATATTATTTAGATTTGTTCTTACTTTTTCTTTTTCAAGTAGCTGTCACAACGTTTTAATACCTTTTGCTCTATTTTATCTCTTTTAGTTGTCAATTTAAATATCATAATTTAAAACCTTCCTTGAAGAGCAATGGTGTAAAAATTTAGTGCAAAAGACCTGTAAGAAATATAAAAAGCTAAGGATGAGTCAATTTGGGGGTTAATAATTCTTAAGACTGAATATAAATGGCCCATAATTTCCTATCATGCAAGGTAAATAGTCTAGCTTAATCCCTCGTCGAAGGCTCTGCACTTTTGTTTTAATCTCAGGACTCTGAAGATTGAGACATTCGAAAGGGAACTAGCAATAAAAGCCTTGTATCCATCCCTCTCTGCAGGGAGCTATGGCAAAGTCCCCATCTCAAAAGAACAAGGCAACTGCATACCAATCACCAAGATGTTGTTCAACTGTTCAACTCCATCAATTTTGGACAAGAGCTGGTTCACAACAGTGTCATGGACCCCGGTGCTGCCTGCCATACTCCCTCGCTGTTTGCAGATAGCGTCGATTTCATCAAAGATGATGATGTGAACACCACTGTTTGCCCCAAGCTGGTGAAGAAAAATGAAAGCATGCCATAAAACCACTGACATCCTTATTCGAATAGCTTTTACAGGATGATGTTTTAAGGAATGCAGAATAAAAGTAAAGCATTTGAGCTGGAAAAGCACAAGGTAGAGGTAGGTTAGACTGAGCACGTGAGCAGCCCAGAGTCACACACTGAGTTTCCACAGCTAATGATAGACTTGAACCAGGATCTCTCCAATCCTAGTCCAGTTCCTTAACTACTACTACCACAGTGGCTCCAGGTATTGGAAAACATTTGCTGGAGGATGCTACTGCACTCCTGCACTGTTTACTGGCTTCCCAGATCATCTAGTCAGTCTCTGTGGGAACAGAAAACAGTAGCTCTATCTACAGCCTGAATCAACTCTCCTGTCTCAGCCTTCCACCGCCCCATTCTATAGTTAGGGTAGCCAGACACATGGCTACGCTGAATTTCCAAATGAAAAGATTTCTGAAATTGACTGACAACCATTGGAATGGATCCAAATTCTTTTCCTCCTCTAGAATACCCACAGTATCATTTTGAAAATTGCAATCCCATGAGCTACGACATCTCAAACTGCACATCAGAGACTCTTAAAAAGAAAATCTCTCTATCTTTGTCATTTCTTTCCCATCTACTTATTTTTAATTGCAAAACAATAATCAACTTCATTGTTCATGAGGGGAGGAAAACATGCCATACAATGATGTCATCTCAAGCCACACATTTCTTAATAACAGATATTACATGACAAGACGAAAAGCAGTGCCACAGGTTGCTACTTTGGCAGTAACACATGCTCTGCTGTATCTGCTTCTAGCCTAAATCCTAATCCGAACAGAACACCATGTGATTCTTTTCATGTTTCTAAGTTACCCTCTTCTGTTCTTCTTCAGCATCTGCAAAGAGCTTGCGAATGTTGGCCTCTGATTCACCGACGTACTTGTTGAGGATTTCGGGCCCATTCACTATTTTTGGCTCCCTGGCATTCAGCATTTTGCCAATCTGCCTGGCCATAAGCGTCTTACCACAGCCAGGAGGGCCATATAAGAGGATGCCTTTCACATGTTTGCAGCCTAAAAGGAAAGAAGAGAGAACACTGTCATGAAGCTAACAGAAGATCTTTCTTTGCCCAGAACAATAACTGGTGCAAACCTGCTACTCATACCAAAACGTATCAGAAAACTTATATTTATATCATATCACACCAGTCAAGAGCTGTTCTTGGGCCTTCTCCATAAGTACAATTCCAAATGGGTATTATCATTTAAAATTTACAGACAGCTTTGGATCAGACTAGAACCCGTTCCCACATAAATCTGCCCTACAAATCATTTTTTGGAAACTGCTAAACCTACTTTCACTTCTGAGGGACAACAGATGATAACAGCACCCATGCACTGGCTTAGATGTAGTACTATATGTACTTGTTTGTACTTGGCAAAAATATGTTAAGCATATCAGGGTGGAGGTTTTAAATCTAGTAAGTGAAAGGAGAGGACTGACTAAGTCAAACAGATAGACACATGACCTTGTTTCTGTAGAAGGAAATCTGAAATTGGAGCTAGAAAACTTTATCATGTATTGTTGGTGGGGGGGATAAAGCACATGGTAGATATCCCTCTGATTCCAGCAGCTCCTCCAGAATACTCCAAGCTCAAGCAGATTACTTCCCTTTTTTGTTTCTGTCACACAATTATTTTCTTCTCATAGATTTTTGTATTTCTTGAGAACTCCCAGCATATACAGAAATTAATACCATATTTTGGGGTGATCTCCATTTCTCTTCTAAACTGATGAGTCAAGCTTGTTATTTGCAGAGCTATACCGAAACATGTTGCAAAAGGGCTCTTGTTCAGGCTGGAGACTTCCTGAAGGAAATCTCTGAAGGTGTTTTAGGCTGAAAGGAGACATCTTTTTCTTTTCTATTCTTCTGAAATCTATTCCTCTATGCTAATTAGGCTAAACAGTCCAAGGTTGGAACTGGCTGCCAGCCCCAAACCTTTTTATTGCTATATTACATGGGAAAGGCAATAGCGTGTGCAACCAAGTTTTTAAATCTCACGTTATGCACTCACACAGACACACATCCAATTCCAGTGGTCACCTCCAAATATTGCTAGCTATTATGGGATGAAGCAGACTAATCCTCTCCCTTCCTTCACAATTTTGGTGAATGCTTTAAAATTTCCACAGCTCAACTGGCTTAATGACTAGGCTCAGAATCTGGCAACATCTTTAGTTTGCCTTTTAAAACTACTTTTAATACTTAATAGCAAACAATGGACTATAATGCAGACGTTTTGCAAGTGAGTCTTTCCAGCTACCACAATTGCCCCAGACTGCAGTGTAAAGATAATGGGCTGAATGGCATTAGTAAGGCTACCTTGAAAATATGTCAAAATTCAAAAGAAAGTTTTTGCACATAATTAAGACTCAAGTTTGACAGACTGTGTCAAGGAGATGCACTGATACCCAGTTATCATCCGAGTAAACTTTCTTTCCCCATTATTTCTTGTCTGTAGCTTTCACCTTAATGCAATGAGAGATCAAAACAAAAGTCTCCACATAGTAATATGGGTTACTGTATGTACTGTACACTGTCCTACCTCTCAATTCTCAAAGTACTGAAGAACCGGAAAGGAAACAGGAATATTGTAGAGAGAAGTAGATGTGTTTTATAAATTATATTTACAAGTGCAAATAATTTCTGCACAATCAAAAAAAGTATCTAGACAATATCAGGAATATAAGAAAATATTACCACTTTCTTTCTGAGTGGTTTTATTTCTAAACATTCTCAGTCACCTAAGACTAAGTCTAAAGCAAATGTACCGAACAGAAATATTAAGATGGGTGGGAAGCCTTCTGATGCTAGGTACTACACTTAACATCTGTATGCATGTGAGAGAATAGCAGCAGGTGAGAAGATGATGAAAAGTGGACAGGGCCATACCACAAACAGGGTATGGCTGGAATTTTCAGTTTTTCCTTTTTTTTTTTAAAGGCAAAATGCTTGGACGCAGAAGCAATTAAACCAGTTTATTGGAAAGTCAGACAGAAAATCCTCATGCATTATAACTAAATAAGAACATGTTTTCAAAGTGTAGTGATTATTTCAAAAATAATACACTTTTAATACACTTAAAAAAGGTATTGAATAGCATTTTGCACAACAGCTAGCAGTTCATTATAGAAGTTTTGCCAACAGCAGTTTTTTGCATCAAAAGACATACTGACGTCTTGTGTGTATTGCATGGATGGTTGTATAAATGAGAGGGACCACTTCTGTCTAGTCAGAGGAGGTGACATTTCAGATTTTTTTATGTGAATCATAACATTTTCTCCTGCCCATTCATATTTTTCCTTTTTCTTTCTTCTACAAACACCTGAAAATATTTCAGTTCTCTTTCAGATTTTCCAGTTTTTCCAATGTTTGGAGGACACAGCCGTTTGTTTGTTTGTTTGTGTGTCAATCCTATGCCAGGTTTCATATATTACCAAAATTATTGTGGTGAAGAAGCAAATAAAACAGAAAAACAGAAAATGATTCTGCATCAGGGTGTAAGAATAAACTTACTGGAGGATGGCTAAAGGGAAGCACTGGTCAAAAGGGCTAAAAATTATTTCTGGCAGCCAGAGTCTTGGGGATCTTTCTGAAGATGAATTAACAGAACTATATTATACCAAGTTTCTGAATTTCAGCTAGGTCTAAGAAAGGGGGACGCGGTGGCGCAGCGGCTTAATGACGCTGAAAGTTGCCAGCCAGAAATGGTCG